ACAAAAATGCCACGGAACTTTTTTGGAACCATCCGGATTACTTGAGACTTGCATCCCTACTTGTGCTTTTTTGGCCATGTGCAGTTTTTGCCTCAAGAGCAGCATCCCTACTTGTGCTTTTCCATTTGGTGGCTTGGAGGCCTTGGATGAACATGCCGCGAATGCCAAATGGCATTCAACACACAGTTGGTTTTTCCAATGGCTTCGGCAGCGGCAAGAGAAAGCGGCAAAGCCGCAGACTTTTCCCCGTTGGGCTGACATTGCCATGGTTGGAGAAGGTCCGTGCGGCCTACTTGATGTCTGGCTGCGACCTTGCAATCACTTTGTTTGCCGCCCAAAAATTCAGTGGCTTACGCCCAGAGGACGCTGACTACCCCACGCTGGACTTAGTGGAGGAAATAGCGGTCTCTGTGCCTCTTGATGCGAGTATCCGCGCCCGAGTTCGCAAGGAGGTGGCTGAAGTTTTGTTGGTCAAAGAGATTGAAAAGCTTAATCTTCGAGGAGTGGTTCCAAGTTTGGCGGCTGTGTACGCCATGTACGAAGCATTTGAGCCGTCCAGTCGCTGCATTGGCTATCGTGGAAGAATTGCATGGGTGCAGCGCTTTCGCAAGCGCTGGGGTTTATCTCGTCGAGCATGGTCGTGCCAACCTGAAATTGAAAAGGGCAAGGTGGGGCCCCAAATCTGGGGCCGCTGAGCGGCCCCAAAACTAGATCTTTTTTATGTAGGGGAACTAAAACTGGGGTCATTTTTGGGGGCCAGGAAGTGGGGTCGTTTTCGTTGTGCAGGTGGCAATTTTTTGGCAATGGTTGCAACATTTGCAACGCAGAACTACACTGGACCGACCGCTTCTTTTGTTGAACTTAGACGAGACTTGCATGCGCTTTCCAGAGAAACCGCGCGTGGGACTGGTAGCGTCCAAAGCTCGTGGTTGGACTTCCCATGCAGGGGCAAAGCTTCTGAGACGCGGCAGCGCAACATTCGTTGCTGTGCTTTGTGAAAATGAAGCCGTGCAAAAGTGCTTGCCTTCCTTTGTGCTTTGCAACAAGCACTTGTGCCCCAAAAAGCTTTACGAAGACTTACTTGCTGCAGCCCCACCTTCCTTATGTATAATTATGGAGATTAGCTTCGTCGTGGAACACATCTGTTGTCATGTGTGAAATTTTGGAGGTGCTAGCAGCTGCTTTGAGGCCTTGGCAGCAGTTCTGCCAGCCAACTCTGACCATGGACCTGGCTCCGTGCCACATCACGCAGTCCGTGCTGCAAAAGGCACGAAGCCTGCAACTCTTTATAGCTTGCGTGCCAACTGGTCTCACTCCTCAACTTCAGGTGGCAGATGTCTTTTGTTTCAGAGCCTTCAAGGCTTTTTTCGCTGGTGAACTTCAAAAGCTGCGGGCCGAGGGTCACGAAGTGACCAAAGCCTTGTTTTTCCAGATTTTTTTCAAAGTGCCTGCTTGGCTGCAGGCACGTTCTTGGGCTAAAGCCTTTCAAGCCATTTGTGCACTTGATGGAAATATCAATCTTTTGACCAAGGACCTTCAAGCACTGGGCTTAGACCCGACAGTGCAGGACAGTTTGCCGACGCAATCCCAGATAGCCTCTCTCTGGCCGAGACAACGCTGTACAAGCAAAACATATTCCCTGCTGTTCACTCGTAATTTGGAGTGAAGATACAGTAATTACAACCACTAGTCGCTGACGCACGCAATGGGGTCGGCCTCCGCCACGTCGAGTGTTTGAACAAAAAATACAAAACCCCAAAACAACGGCTTTCACTGCACCAGTCGCTCAACTCTTTTCCACACAGGAAACGACGAGAGCAAAGTAAGTTTGCTGTTCATGCAGCATGCACTGTGCTATGTTGGTCTTCTTGCACTTGTCCCGTCTTGAACATGGCAGCGGAATCACACAGATTCCAAACGCACCAAAAGCATTCAGCTTCACATTGATGAATTCATGTTGGTTGAATTCATCACCATTTCAAAACATTCTCAAATAACTTCAAACTCCAAAAACGTTCTCCTCGTTCACAAACTTCTCAAAAACATCATGCAGCTTCCAGAAAAATGCAAAACGCAGTTTGGTAGAAAAATAAATTGGTTTGTTGTTGTTGTTGACAAACGACATGCACATCCAGGAAAATAAAGTTGCACCGCAACTGTCCAAATTCACTTGCAAATGCCGCGCATGCAGCAAGTGAGTTTCGAAAACAACGTTTGACCTTCTTGTCCATAAACATCATCACCAAATACTTTGCATTACCATGCAAAGTCCAGAAAACAACAACAAATACATCGCTCCCAGATGTTATTCCACCATTCTGCGGCAAATCCAGAGCTGTGCACAAAGAAGACATTGTTGTAACCAAATTCCACGTGCCATATCAAGTTGTCAGGGGAACGTACTGGGGAGGCCCATTTTTGCGCGCCTGCTTTTTCTTACTTTTTGAGGACCCAAACAGAGACCTTGTTTGTCACATTGTTTTGCTCAATTTCCATAGCCTTGAGGCCCTCGTGGCCTGCCTCGAGGCCTGCCTCGAAGTGTTTTGTTCTAATTCGCATGGTCTCGTGACGCTGGAGCTCGAGACTTGCATTGAGGTCTGCCTCCAATTAAACTTCATCTTATAAACTTTTTGTTTGGCTGCAATTTCCATAACCTTGAGGCCTCGAGGCTTGCGTTGAGGCCGTCTCTTTGCGCCAGCTGCGGCCTAAAATTCTAGCAAGGCAGCACAGTTGCCAACTACTTCAAGTTCAGCCTTGCTGGGACTTCAACAATAGTATTATATAGTTTCGAGTCCCCCTGAGCCTCGCTTTGTCCTTGTGCCAATAGGTTTTGCGTCCGAGGCGTGCCTCGGCCAGGCCTCGCCGAGCCTCGAAGCGCCTGGATTGCAGGCTTTGGGCTCTTTCATCAACATATTAGAAAGGGAAAGATTGTCATCACGAAGACAAGCAAGGAAAAGAGGCTTCTTTTGGGTTCATTTTTAGCACCTGAAACTGATATGATTTTTGGAGACGGAGTTGGGGCCTCCCTTGTTCGAGGCCCTTAGTGCCAACTCGGTGGTTATTTTGTGTGATGTTGATGCGCTTCTACATTAAAACAGCTCAGCTGAAGAAGGTGCTTGGGTGGGCTTAAAACCGGACCTCCAAGAAGGCACCGGATTCAACCTGTTGAGGGTCCAGTTTTGGACCCCCTTGCAAAGGAAACGTGTTTCCAAAAGGGGTCAAAAAGTGGACCCCTTGAAATCAAAAGTGGTCCCCCCTGGAGGGTCCAGTTTTGGTCCCTTTTTGGCACCTTCATTGTCGCAAATTTGTTGAAGCGTTTATTTCAAGTTGAAGCTGATTTGATCAGCAGCAGCTGCGGCTGGAATCTTGAACTGGGGAGGCCCATTTTTGCGCGCCCGCTTTTTCGTACGTTTTGAGGACCAAAGCAGGGACCTTCTTTGTCACATTGTTTTCTCCAATTTCCATAGCCTTGAGGCCCTCGTGGCCTGCCTCGAGGCCTGCCTCGAAGCTTGCCCCGAAGTGTTTTGTTCTAATTCCCATGGTCTCGCGACGCTGGAGCTCGAGACTTGCATTGAGGCCTGCCTCCAACTATACTTCATCTTCTAAACTTTTTGTTTGGCTGCAATTTCCATAACCTTGAGGCCTCGAGGCTTGCGTTGAGGCCGTCTCTTTGCGCCAGCTGCGGCCTAAAATTCTAGCGAGGCAGCACAGTTGCCAACTGCTTCAAGTTCAGCTTTGCTGGGACTTCAACAATAGTATTATACAGTTTCGAGTCCCCGTGAGCCTCGCTTTGTCCTCGTGCCAATAGGTTTTGCGTCCGAGGCGTGGCCTCGGCCAGGCCTCGCCGAGCCTCGAAGCGCCTCGATTGCAGGCTTTGGGCTCTTTCATCAACATATTAGAAAGGGAAAGATTGTCATCACGAAGACAAGCAAGGAAAAGAGGCTTCTTTTGGGTTCGTTTTTAGCACCTGAAACTGATATGATTTTTGGAGACGGAGTTGGGGCCTCCCTTGTTCGAGGCCCTTAGTGCCAACTCGGTGGTTATTTTGTGTGATGTTGATGCGCTTCTACATTAAAACAGCTCAGCTGAAGAAGGTGCTTGGGTGGGCTTAAAACCGGACCTCCAAGAAGGCACCGGATTCAACCTGTTGAGGGTCCAGTTTTGGACCCCGTGCAAAGGAAACGTATTTCAAAAAGGGGTCAAAAAGTGGACCCCCTTGAAATCAAAAGTGGTCCCCCCTAAGGGTCCAGTTTTGGTCCCTTTTTGGCACCTTCATTGTGACAAATTTGTTGAAGCGTTTATTTCAAGTTGAAGCTGATTTGACCAGCAGCAGCTGCGGCTGGAATCTTGAACTGGGGAGGCCCATTTTTGCGCGCCTGCTTTTTCTTACGTTTTGAGGACCAAAACAGGGACCTTGTTTGTCACATTGTTTTGCTTCAATTTCCATAGCCTTGAGGCCCTCGTGGCCTGCCTCGAGGCCTGCCTCGAAGCCTGCCCCCAAGTGTTTTGTTCTAATTCCCATGGTCTCGTGACGCTGGAGCTCGAGACTTGCATTGAGGTCTGCCTCCAATTAAACTTCATCTTATAAACTTTTTGTTTGGCTGCAATTTCCATAACCTTGAGGCCTCGAGGCTTGCGTTGAGGCCGTCTCTTTGCGCCAGCTGCGGCCTAAAATTCTAGCAAGGCAGCACAGTTGCCAACTACTTCAAGTTCAGCCTTGCTGGGACTTCAACAATAGTATTATATAGTTTCGAGTCCCCCTGAGCCTCGCTTTGTCCTTGTGCCAATAGGTTTTGCGTCCGAGGCGTGGCCTCGGCCAGGCCTCGCCGAGCCTCGAAGCGCCTCGATTGCAGGCTTTGGGCTCTTTCATCAACATATTAGAAAGGGAAAGATTGTCATCACGAAGACAAGCAAGGAAAAGAGGCTTCTTTTGGGTTCGTTTTTAGCACCTGAAACTGATATGATTTTTGGAGACGGAGTTGGGGCCTCCCTTGTAGCACATGTTCACCGTATCAACGGGAGTTTATACTTCCATAACGGCCTCATCGGCCTCATCGGCTCCAGCGGCTCCAGCGGCTCCATCGGCCTCATCGGCCTCCGGCTCCAGCGGCTTGAGCGGCCTCATCGGCTCCATCGGCCTCATCAGCCTCATCGACTCCAGCGGCTCCAGGGGCTCCATCGGCCTCATCGGCCTCTTCGGCCTCATCGGCTCCATCGGCTTCATCGGCCAAAGAATCTGCTTGGGGAAAGATGTGGGAGGGTGAAGCATTGAAGGCTTTCTTACTCCTCTATCGTTTTCGATAGCGTGTCAATTATATTGGATAATTGAATTAAAACATACCACAGAGTAGCGGAGTGGCGCGGAGTTGCAACGAACGGATTGGTGAATGTTGCCTGGGTGGTGTGCTTTGCAATCGCCGCATTGGAGCTCAGTTGCATTCTGGATAGTTGTGCTATCTCAGCAAGCTGTGAAGTCAGTGAAGCACAGAAAGCTTTTTTGTCACTGCCCATGCTGAAAAAGGATCTGGCACGTCTTTGGAAGAGCACTATGCCAACCTACCGGACCCAACTCACCACGATGTTCTCCTTGAGCACTGAGATTCTCTTTGTGATTCTGAAGATAGACAAAGCACACCTGAAAGGAATCTGAGTGGCTCACAGATTGCTGTATGGCATTTTCGAGATTTGTTTTTCGCTCCTGTTTTATTTTGTCATACCTGTTATACGTTTCAGATGACTGTGAACTGACCGGCTTATCGGCGGCCGTTTGTTTGTTGTTTTGCAGTTTGGTTTGGTTTTTGTTTGTTTGTGTGTGTTTTGTGTTGCTTTTGTTTTGCGGTTCTTTGGTTGTTCTTTGTTGGTTTGATGTCCTTGCACGGTGATTGCTCAATGGATTGTGTATCGATCCTTATTCAGTTCTACTTTTGGTGCACATTGTCCATTAATGCGCTGAATTTGCAAATATGCAACTGGTTTCCGGCTTGCTTAACGACCTGGCGAGCACATGTGCGCTTTCAGGTTCCATTTCTGGAGCCGAAAAGTCAATTGAAATCAGGCTTCGCATGTGCGGGCCTCCTCTGTTCCAACTCTATTGTTGCTTAACCGTTCGGCCACTGGTCGTGTGTCTTTGGCTTTGTTTTTACCTCACCGGCGGTTCTTTTTGCGGGCGCTCACGGTTCCCAACCGCTGCCGTCTTTTCAACGCTGCCTGGCCTTTCTTTTTTCTCCTTGCAGCTTCCTGTGTTGGAGTTTTTTCTTGTGTCACCTCCCGCATGTAGCTTTTGCTTGTTATTCAGCGGCCAGTTTGCCCCTTTTTCACCTTCTTGCTAGCCGCTGCCCACGCAGCTTGCAGAGGGCCTGTGGCCCTGCGCGCCAGGTTGTATATTTGCCCTTTGCCTGTACACTATGATCAACATTGTAGTGCAGTTAATTATCACCTCATTTGTATAGTTTAGCCTCCAATTGGTGGTTTCCAACTACCTGCTTCCAACAGCAGCAATATCTCATCATGTCAGAAGTTGCTTCATCCTGTCAGAATTCGAATCATGTCATCATCTCATGGCTTCAGTTTTTTTCAAAATCATTTTATCATTTCATCATTTCATCATTTTGTCATTTCATGATTTTATCATTTCATCTTTCCATTTTTCTTCATCATCATCATCATCATATCATATCATATCATATCATATCATATCATCATCATCATCACATCATCATCATCATCACATCATCATCATCATCATCATTATCATCATCATCATCACATCATCATCATCATCTTCATCATCATCATCATCATCATCACTGCGTCGTCATCATCATCGTCTTCATCATCATCATCATCATTGTCATGCGTTCGGGGTTTGATCATTCTTGCATTTAACTTTAGTCCACCACATGTCAATCATAGCATCCGTATGCAAAGTCAAGTGAAAATCAAAGGACCATCATGTTTTTGATAATTGCATTTGGATACCACGGGGTGCAGTGTCGCATGAACCAGTCTAACATTGGTAACGAAAAACATGAAACACGGTGGAATGGTAATTTTTACACAACTGACACCAGCATTTCAGAAATCGCACGACTCCGATGCATCACACAAATCAAACATGACTCTTGAAATGACATCCTTTCACTTTTTATACATGTGATTTCCACCCATTTAAGCACGATGTTGAAATTTGTTTGTAATTGCTGAGTGCTGTTCAATTCAACGGTCACCGTGTGAACCCTGCAGACACTTGTAGTTGTTGTTTCTGCAGTCGAACAAAAATTGGGGTTCGACGGATTTGAACCCAACGCAATAGACAGGGGTTCGCATTTACGGCTGTCGTCGTGGCACGCCTGCCACTGTGGTTCACTCACGATTACCAAGCTTCATTGACAACCTTGGTTTTATTCAATGTATTGTTCAAAGTTGCGATCAGGTGCCCCTCTTTGTTTCCAAGAGGTTGAATTCTTTCAATGGTTTCGTAAATTAAAGCAAAAAATGATGGCAACCATGAAAACCAGAGGAGTCTGAAGACGTTGGAACATGCACCATTTGAAAAACATTCATTGTTGCCATACAGTAGCTTGTGAAGATCCATGTTTTCCTATGCCAAGCAATGGCGATGGCGGCTTCGCGCTCTGGTGCTGCTGTGTGCAACCCAGGCCTTGAATTCCAACAAATTTATGCTTGGGGATCGGGATGACCCTAATAAATAAACCAGGTCTATTCATCCGAGGTTTCCATGATGTATTCTTTTAAGTGTTCTATCAATGGTGGATTTTCTATATATGTAAAATGTGGGGTAAATTTTAGAATTACAATTTGGGGCATGTCTATGTGTCACAACTGAAAACAATTGAAAATAAAATTTTCAGATTTCGTTGCAGGGCACATGAAATTAGCCATGTGTTTTCCCCAAAATTTGCAACCTCACCATTTGGTACATATTGGGGAAACCCACTCGCAATTTCTGGTTGTCATCATTTTCGATGGATCCTCGGAAGCAGCCCCGATAGCAATGGCAGGTTGGGGGGATGAGAACAACTGCTTGGAGCAGTGAAAAATATGTTGAAATCCCACTTAAGATGTGTGCTGTTTAAATGGTTGGCACATGTTGGCACCAAATCCCCACGTACGGCAGTTGCAGACGTAACAGTTTTTATGTGATTCTACCAGATAATTCACATTTTTACCATCATTAACCATTGTTAAACCCATGATTTTCCCATATAAAACCACCACTGTTGATTCTGCAGCACGAGAACTGCTGGACCTGTCCACCTAGGACCTTTAGGTCATGCGGGTTATCACCAGGGTTGCTGCGCTGACATGTCCTGGCGATTTTGTGATCCAACTTCATGCAGATAATCAGATTACATGTAATCCCCAAAAAGGGAAAAAAACAATTTAACAGTCTTTTACTAGCAAAGTCCTTTTGTTTTTAGGTGATTAACTTACTATATATGGTAATTTGAAATCTTGATTTTGGCATGCCTTGTTTGGTATTTGGTTTGCAACCTAACCACAGGAATTGGGACCCTTCCAGCTATAAATTGGAGCAGAACTTGTACATTCAGAAGACAGTATATCCTCTCTCGGAATTGGTCCAAGGATGTTGAAGATAACAACACTACAGGGTTTACCCCAAAATCTGGGCATATCTGGATGTTTTGTTGTAAACACTCCTGATTTGGGGCAATAAAACCATGACTTTCCACCGACTTTCCACTAATTTTGAATGGTAAAACCATGGGTTTCCTCGAGATTTTTGGTAATCCAGCGGTCATGCCCGAGTGATTTCGACACCAGGTGCTGCTGGGAGGCGCTATTTCAGTGGAGCTGGTTAATCGGTCCGATATATATATATATATATATATACATACATATGTAATGCAATGTAATGTAATGTATAGGTATAGGTATAGGTATAGGTATAGGTATAGATATAGATATAGATATAGATATAAATATAAGATAGTCCAAATTGCAAGATTTGCAACAATCATGCTTGTATTGGGTTGTAGTCCGTATAGGTTTGATCGTGAAACTGCGGCATTCTGCACCAGGTTGGCTTTGTTTCACTGGTGGAAAGGCCTTCAAAGGCACCGAAATGGGACTTCTTTGCAGCTTACTCGGTGGGACAATGAGGTTTCCAACCACTGGATTTTTGGAGCATCTGATTTTCAAACACTGGAGCAAGTTGGAGAGCACCCAATTTGGATGGTTGTGGATGCGGAATCCTGAATATTTCAGGTTAGTCACATGTAACAGAGCCTTAGCTGGACTAATGGCTTTAGACCTTCCAAAAAACTGTTCGATGGCACAGGTTCTTAGGATAACACTTCCTATCCCAAATAAGTTTGACAACTAATGTCTTTGCAACATCAATATACATAGAACACATTTTCAAAATTGGTAGAGATAGATGATCTTTATCTCATAGCTTTCTGAGCTATGGTAATTGAGGGATTTTGGCTTCTGCAGCCACACAGTTACTTGAATTCATCCCATTCAATTAGCATATTGCGCTGGAAATGACCGGTTGCACACTGGGTCGTGTGTTGTAATGACCGCAGCAGGGATCATCAAAACGTTTTAGAGTTGTATCAAGATCCAGGTTTTTTATTTATTTGTGTTTATTTGTGTCCTCTCGTTGAAATAGAAACTGGCGCCCCACGTTTGTGGCGGCGCAGGCGGAACTGTTGATAGTCTTGTTTTGATCGCCTCTATCAACCTGAAAACCAACATGAAACCCTCAAGATTCGTGCTTTGGATACCGATTTTACAATCGAACATCCGAATCTTAGCGGTTCCAACTTCCTTTTCAGGCCAGGTTTGAGGGCTATCTTCTGAAATTTGGAGGATCCCAACCGCCTTAGTGGTTGGGAACCCAAATGTGTTAATTCATGGGAAACTCCAAAAAACCTCCCTGGTGCGGTGGATCGCAGGTAGGGCGACTTTCAGTGAAGCGGTTACGATCAGCAGGTAGGGCGCCGTTCAAGACACGGAGGATGAGTTCTTGGATGTGGAACCCAGTTACTGGAAAACTACCCACAATCCATATGCATATTGCACAAAAAGAAGCAAAAGGTCGAATGAATGCAGCTAAAGTAATATTGGTCATATATGTATAGATAGTTGCACACATAAAATTGCAACTATTCTTTTGAATCACCTTTGGATGTTGGCATGCACATCCAAGTAGCTGGTTATGATACATGAAGCACCAAGAAACAACGGAGAAATCTGCTTTCCACCAGAATTTGCTTCCCCTTAATGGGTCTGGACATACCATCCAGCCTCATTTGGCGACCTGAGGTCGCAAAGTGAGGACGAGTCGCGTTGAAGTGATTGAAGTGATTGGGATGGAAAGAGGGGCAGAGGGGGACCAAAAATCTCTTTGTTCAAAACAATCAAGATCTATTTGAATAAGTGCTAAATAGCACATAGCACAAATCCCTACAGCGATGTCCCGCACAAACGCGGCAAGTGGGACTTCTTCATTCGACCTCAAAACAAGCAGCACATATTTACGTCCGAAACGCCATGGTGAACCGTGCACTTTGCTACAACTACCCCATTCACCAACTATTCGCCAGTCATTTTGCCAGTGAAAAAATCACCCTTTGAATCGATTTAGCTGGTGAAATTTGCAAGTTCAGTTTGAGTGAATTGATTTTTTAGGAACATGTAAAGGAATTCCTAAGCATCAGAAACGATTTTTTAAAAGGGTAATTTCGGGAATCCATCTATGTCTATTTTTCCCTTTTGATTCTCCACCATTGTCTCATTTTTCTTGTTTGGTTGGGTATTTGACATGAAGGGGTAGAGGGATTACCCTCCAGTATATTCATTATCAACCATAGATATTGAAAACCTACCATGTGTAGATCATATCCACTGGGAAATCATTACTTGCATCAGCATGGATAGACATGTAGTTGTACATTGGGGGACTTTGATTTGGACCTAGCAGATGGATCTAGTTCATTCTAGTTCTATCGACCGAAGCGGAAGTCCATATCTAGATACTGATTGATTGACTGCAAGGTAGTTCCACCTTTTTGGTGCACGGGAGTAGTAGAAAACATGTGGACAAGGAGAAGTTGCAAAGTTCAACAACAAAGAATGAGATAGAATGGGGTGTATGTATATATATATAATATTGTATATATACCTATCTAGTAAGTATGGCTCTGGGTGATTCTTTGTTATTCTTGATAACCACAGATGGACTAAACATATTATAAGATTCTAAGGCGTTCCTTTTCTTATGACTTGATACATATCCACTTTGCGTGGACACCCTCTGTTAATCAAGCACGGCAACGGAAAATCTACCATTTATATATATATATATATAAATGATTTGGAATAAAAATACAAATTTATAAAGTTCAGTTAATGCATTTTATACCATTCCTCCACATCTATTGTTCCAAGCTTTCCGTGGCAACAGATGGTACTGTATCACAAATGAACGAGTCTGAAAAACATGTACATATTTTTTGAATCCACTGTTTCATCCCCATTTTCCCTATGAAAATACCAATTTTCCCTATGAAAATATTCATTTTCCCTATGAAAATATCCATTTTCCCTATGAAAATATCCATTTTCCCTATGAAAATCCAAATTTTCCCTATGAAAATATCTATTTTCCCTATGAAAATCCCCATTTTCCCTATGAAAATATCCATTTTCTGGGTATTGCGACAGATTTTTCCGACAGACTTTCTGACAGACCCCAAAGTTGGGCACATTGGATCATCCCCAAAAGTTAGGCAACATGGCCAACATGTCAACCTCTCGAAACTTTTTTAAGGTGAAATGAATTCACCTAGATACATCAAGATACATCAAAGAAGTAGCTGTTCCTATCAGGTCAACCTTTGTTTTGCTTCTTTTATGGCTGTTCTGTTGGTCCGACTTTCTGTGAGCTTGGAGGATCATTCCACGACTCGTAAGTGGTTGATAGTCCTGGTGAAAAAAAACCCCTGAGAACTGCATCCAATTGGCTGGTATGGTTCCTAAGTTCGTAAGTGGTACAGTCATTTGGGTGTAGCTATTAGAGAGGAAAATCTAGAGGACATCATGGATTTACCTATCATCTAATCGGGCTTTCCTCTCTTAAACCTATCATTGGACCTCCAAAATGGAGGATCAGATCCACGAGTGCCAAGGTCAGCTACTAAGATAGCCATAGCCATGGTCGCCTACGAAGACACCTACAAGCTGCTGATCACCAGTCATTTTTTTTGCTTTATGAAATCCCATTAGCAGTATAGTACTCCCCAAAAAGATAGAACAGGAAAGTCCAATCTGAACATATAATTTGGCTTACTATAGATATAAATACATAACCTATAACTAACTGGGTTACTTTTTGAAAAAATGGGTTACGATAGATATATCTACCAGAAATCATAGGTATGGAGCACCACCTTCTGAGATTTGCCACGCAAAAAATGGCCAGGACGATCTTGGCCACAAAAGCTCGCCCTTCACAGAAGATTGGTCAGGTGCCAGAGGATTTTTGGGAAACCACACCATCTCAGGGGGGATATATGCCTGCTAGCATCCCGCAAGCGATTTGCAGCATTTCTGAGGTCCAGCCTTGTATTTACGAGGTATGTTCGGCATTTCTGACCTCCAGCCTTTCATTTACTAGGTATTTGCTACCTTTTCGATGACCCACATAGCCCACATACTCCCTCAAAGAGTGCCTACGTACTACTTACATCCGCGTAGATGCTACATTTTTACTTCCTATTTACACCCTTTCAGATTAACATGATTTGATTTTGTTTTTTTCAAATTTGTATAGCTATATTTTTTTATCTGGGAAAATCGTTCCGGTGGTTTCATGATTTTAGTTGGGGGTAAAGGAGGAAAACCGGCTGGGTCTACCACTACACCTACAGCTACAAATGCAACTACAACTACAACTGCCACTACATTACACTACGCTACGCTACGCTACACTAACTACAACTACACTACAGAACACAACACTACAGCAGACTACACTACACTACATTACACTACACTCATTACACCACACCACAACTACAACTGTAACTACACTACGCTAATTACACCACACTACAACTACAACTCCATTACGCTACAACTACAACTACAGCTGCACTACACACTACATCCAGCAGTTGTGGGTGTGGTGACCACTGCAACCATTGCAACCACTCCAGAAAACACAACTCATCAGTAAGTTCGCGATGTGATCCATGCATCACAACAACTCACCTCTCCTGTAGTGTACTATCTTGAAGCTTCCGCCACCGCCTTGTGCAGCACTACTGGTCATAATTCATATGGTTTAAGATATTGTTGACACTTCCTCCCAACGAACATATTTCAGGAAAATCACAGGTTTGCTCCATTATAGGTACATGATAGTCTCACCGTGGCAGGTTTTTTGGCTTCGCCCTGTGACACTGTGGTGATGCTTTGTGGCGCCCGGCCCGGCAACGTCCGGCCCATAGAGGGGTGGAGGAGACGGATGTTGCGTAGAGAAATTTGTGGCTCTAACGGTCATGAAATCATTAAATTGTTGATTTAGATGATGTTTTAGTGATGATTGATCCTTATTAATGGTAATTGAAATGTTGGCGAGAAACACATTTTTGCTGGATTTATGGTGGTCTTTTGGCGTTTCTTCTGCAACCTGAAACCACAACATTCAATAGATGGTTCAAAATGGAACGCCCGAGATGATCTTCAACAAGGTTTGGGGGTTTGTTGCAAGATTGTAGAGAGATTGGTTCTGGTTAACTTCGCACTTTGGTTGTTGTTCTTAGTACCTGATGGTGGTGAATCTCCCATTTTTGCTGGTTGGACAAGAAAGATAAATTGGCAAATCATCTACATGTGAAGGATTTTACTCGGCTAATTTCGGAATATCCTCCCAAAAAGACTGAGCTGCAGCCCAAATCAATTGGAGTGAAAGAGAATTCTTTGGAGATAGAAGTGTCATATATATATATATATAGATGTGGCCATTTTTGGGTTTCATGCATTTTGAGGGTGCCTGGGTACCAGTCCTAAGGCGTATCACCAGGTGGATCCCAAGTAGCTGTCGAGCCAGGTGGGTGCAACGTACTGCCTCTGCTGTTTGGGGAACGTGTGCGCCCTCGTTGTGGTGGGATTGACCTTTGGAAAGGCCCAGAAGGTCAGGGGTGAAGTGCCTGGATGTGGAGCCATCGTTTGGGTAGAAACCATACTTGGGTTAAGTCGTCTTGAGTTGCGGAAAGTCGTCTGGATGTGGCAGCTGCGTAAGTGGATGTTCAAGCATGGTTGACAACCAATGTTTTTGAACACATTCGTTATTTCAACTTATTTTACGAGGATCTTGTCACATAGCGTGCACATGGTGTTTTCCTTTTTTTCCGGGTGACTTTTCACAAGCCAGGTGACTTACTACTAACGCAGCGTACTTAAGTCGGGAGGATGACTTACTGCAAACCCGGGTGACTAAACCCCAGCGCTTGTGTGAAATGATTACCATCTGGTTATTTAACATAGCCATGGAAAATCACATTTTTTAATAGGTAAACCATCTATAAATGGGCCATTTCCCATGGCATGGGATGTACTGCAGAAACGTATTGTTTATTGACCGACTTACTTACTATCTAAGATGCAGCCCCATGCTCGAAGGGTCGACCCCTAGGTGTTGAAGCCTTTTTTGGTGAATATATGATGCTTCTAAGATTTAAACAGGCAGGATGATGTAACAGGATGATGTAGTTTTGGTCTCTCAAGATTAGGGTGTGTATTAGGTGGACATTGTAAATCAGATTTCAGGCTGGTTACCACTGCTTGGTATGCACCACTGCTTGGTATTTCTGGCCGACGTCACTGAAAATGATGGTTTATACATGTTTATACCCTCTGCTAATCAAACAACATGGCTTGCTGGAAAATCCGTAAATTTACAGATGGTTTTCCCATTCAACCTCCATTTCTAGGGGGGTTATACCCGCTAGCCACGTTTGACACCGGAGTGTATTCACTCGGGAACCATCCAAAACAGCCCAACAGATGGTGTTTTCACGAGCCCAACATTTGTAACTAGGAAGGATGAACCGATTTATCGATTTTCTCACAGTTCAGAGATCATCCTGGTATACGATTTTCTCCGGTTTCATTTTTGGGTGAACTTTCCCATCGCGAGGTGAGATTGCTCACTTTTTTTGCCTGCAATCCACAGCTCAGGATGTTTTCCTGGGGCCCAGAAGATGTTTTTGCTGAGCAAGTCCCAACAAAAACGGTGATATCATCCAAGATATCATGAGGATACTCTGGCTAGACTTAACCTCGTAGAGAAAATGATATGCGTTCCTATCTCAACATGGGTCCCCGTCTTCAATTTTTCCTGGACACAACAATGATATATGGTACTGAAATGGGTTGGGTTCACACAGATTGTAGAATATTGTAGATGTGCCCTCACCTTGAGTGCTTTGTCAACTGATTCGGCTCTAAAAACACATCAAACACATCTTAAACCCTCGGTTTAGCTGGCAAAAACAAGGATGCGCCTCGGTTCACCAAGAAATCACCGGGACTCCGGGACCATCCGGGTGACCAAAGGCCTTGGAGTTGTCGGGTGTGAAACCTGGAGAAGGCCGTGAACCTTGGGAACTGGAGCCAGTGATACCATGGTTTCATGGCTTACCGGCATAAACGAGTTACCAAGTGGCTGCAGTGGATTATAATCTATATATCACTGGGGTATATAATACATATAATATATACACTATATATATATATGGAATATATATATGTAATATATATATATATATGTAATATATATATATATATGTAATATATATATATGTAATATATATATATATAATATATATATGTAATATATATATACACACCCTATATAGATATATAGAGCTGGGGTATTGTATTATGGTTATTAACCATGGACCCTAACTGGGATGCACATCCAAGTATAACTGCGGTATCTAATGACTATATAAGGAGATATATCAATGGGGATATAAGTGGATATGTATTGGGGATATCCTATATCAAAGGGAGTATCATTGGGATATGCAATTAGCGAGATACATCAGTGGTTAACTATACATTCAATCTTGGGTGTGTCTGAAAAAGGGGATTGCCCACATATTTATGGTTCATTTCCTCTGGATTTGGGGTACAGCCTATTTTCAGACAAAACCATTTAACAATGGCCTAAAATTAATTAAGGAAATATATACATTTACCCTCTGGTAAATCAACATAGCTATGTAAAATCACAATTTGTAGTTTAATTAAGAGATCAATCAACCATAAATGGGCCGTGTTCAATAGCTATGCCAGCTATGCTAGTTTACTGGAGGCTACTCGCGCCGAGGTACTCGTGCCGAACGGGGGAATCATCGAACCATCCCTGGATGATTTCCACTGCAATGTTTGATTCCTGGAGGGGAAACCCGATTTGATCCTCTTTCATGTGGGGATTGACATATACCCTCTGGTTATGTCAAAATAGCTATTGAACATTGCCATTTATAGCGAGTTTTCCCATAAAAAATGGTGATTTTCCATAGCTACGTTAGTTTACAAGAGGGTATATGTCAGACTTTGGTCAAGTCATACATTACCCAAGTCATTTACCCAGAGAGCAGCAATCGACCAAGTTGGCCACAACAAACTTGACCAAGATGTGGAACCCTGAGCCCGATGGTAGGGAAAGCAACGCCAGTAGTATTTGAAAATTTTGGACGATATTAGGGCATAGTTGGTTGTTTAATGGTGAAATCTTCATGTAAAAATGGGACATTTCCCCATGTTTGATGATTAGTTCACCATGGCTGATGCTAATGTGATTGGTTAATCCCCATGTTTGATAGGACAACTCGGAAGTCTGTAGTGCACATGCTCCCTCAGACACATTGTTTTTGGGAACATGTATCTTGCTCAGGGAGTTTCGCTTTTTTTTTTCAAGTCATGTTTTAACCCAAACCGCTGAGGGAGCGGCGTGCGACTGAGAGGGAGCGAGTGTGTGAGAACAGAACTTCCAAAAACACACAAAAAAATTGGGTACAACTTATATTTCATGAAATCTCAATTTTTTGATGGTTAAACTTCCATTTTGATTTTCTGATGTGGAATCCCAATCTTTATGCTTTGCTGATTTTTTCAATGGATCGTTATAGTAGTTCGACGGGTCGAACTGGTGGAAAGTCCACGCTTGACCATGGATTCTGACGTCAGGAGTGACATGCTTGGTGGCCCCACCAGAACAGATGGACACGCGCGAGGCGATGGCAATGTTGAAGCGAAGATGTTGAGTTTTAGGATCAACACTTGGAGATTTACGCATGAGATTCGGGTCAGAAATGGTGATGTAACAACAGAAACATGATATGTTTTTTACTGTGAAAAAGGCAGAGTCGGCCAGAACAAGGTAGAAATTTCACATGATTTATCCAGCAAAGATTGGCTGTTTACTCGCCAACATTGGAAAAAAACATAGCACTTATGATAATTATGATTGAATCATCACAAGAAACACTTTTCTGCATCTTTTTTTGGGGACCCCTATAAGCATATCATACCCAGATTTCTTGATGTTTTTTCAACCACTTCGGCTGACATCGACGCGAAGTCGTGCAGGTGCTCTTGGCCCTGCGTGATGCAGACTTTCACCTTGTAGGGCTCACGGCCCACGGAGAAGGCAGGGCCTGCCCAAAAAGTGTGGTTTCGTCAAAAATGGGTAAATGGAAAAACTAATTTGCGAATGGGGATATTAGAATGGGTATAACTTGCAAAGATTTTTGATGTTATAGGTTTGACTCCAATAAAAGGGATGGTACTTCCCCATACCGAAAATTAGACAAGTCATTTTCCAGGACGTTTTTGCAGCTATTTTAAATGTGAAAAGCAGTTATTTCCCGAGTTTCCAGGTTTCTAATTCTATCCATTTTGGGATTTTGGGGTTGCTACAACGTGAAAATGACTACTGGGAGGATCATCCCATTTAGTAACTGGTTAGCAAGTGGGGTTAAAAAGCCACTTGCAAATGGGATAAAGGTCTCAGAGGACTTAGTAACTAGGCCTATTAACCACTTACTAAATTACTAAGTGGGATGATCCTCCAAGTAAGGTCATGGGAGCACAATTCTGAGGGAAGAAATGATCCTGGAATGCGGGTATCAATGTCTTGTTTTTGGGTTTCAATCTATCTCACTTTGTCCGATCCTCCGATTGATATGGAAAATTCCAATCTATTTTTTGACCCCCAATCGTAGTGAATAGATAGATCCAGGGTTTCGTTTCGAGGGAAAAGTGTGATATTATTGGGAAGGGATTATCATGGATGATCATTCACGTGGTAAAGATTGGTAAGGACTGGGTGGATCATTCAAACATGGATCAACATTTTTCATTCCGGGATAGTCATTTGCCAACTTATGTGGGGCTTTCCTAAAGTGGGCGGCCTGAAGTAATCATTCAAGTTCTTGGTCATTTTTCCTCCAAATCTGCCCTTTGCCTGTCGTTTTTTTGTTTTAATGAGCACTTTTCCCTTCATAATGATTGAATCTTCCAAACATGGCTCACAAACTTCCTACAGGGACTGGCCTCGTTCAGGTTAAATATTCACCTGTTCTTCAGCAGGATTTCTCACATGATAGCTTTCACATGGTGCTTTTCAAAGGGTTTTTTTTGCAAGATTTCTGCGCAAGGTCCTTACGAAGATACAACTTAAGCATCATTTTTTTGGGGATTATTGCAGATCACCGGGCTTCAGACCATACCCACCTACCTCTCGTAATTGCTGGAAAATCTCATGAAAAGTTCCAAAAATTCCCACCCAGGCATGTTTGATGCACGAAAAAATAGCCACTCGAAGATCCCCATGATATCTCCATACTATTCTGTTGAATTCCCTAGTTTTCACCATGTTTTATGCTTAAATCATCTTAAATCATTATCGGGACAAATCATCTATGTTTTATTTCCCATGGTCATTCTATATCCCAAGTGCATCCCCCATCATTGGAGGTTTCTTAATTCATGGGGTATCCCAGTGGTCACCATAGGTGTCAAAGCACTGTGGGATGTGTCGTTTCGACCAGGCGAGCCTGGCTGGGGGGATAAGGCATGGCTTAGGACCAATCATGGGGCATATTTACTGTTTTTTTTCATTGGGATCCATGAATTGATTAGTAAATGATGGGTTAGTATGGGTATGGCAATCCAAACCTAGGACAGATCCATTCTTTTTGGAAGGGAAATTCACATCCATTTTGTCAGGCTTTTGTAACCTGGGAATCAAATCTGGTTGCTTGAGGTTCAAAAAATCACAAGACAAGTTGGTGGAGAATGACATTTCAGACCGCTGCGGGGTGATCGTTGAAGTTGTTTGGGCAAGCTTGCATTTGCATCCCAGTCCGCTTAATACCCGTGGAACCCAGCTACATATCGAATATAGCGTTCAAACATTTCTCAAACTAACATGTGATACCAATGGAACCGCAAATGGCTGGGCACTCCTTTTTGTCTTTTCGCATACACGTATTAACATGGGTTCAAGACCATGTGCGACTTTGGTCCTACATCCAACTCATATATACGGTATTCACACTTTATATTTGTGTACATAATGTACACATATATAAAGTGTGAATACCCTGTACATATATATATATATATTAATATATGTGAAACCACTGGTGATGTTCCTTCAAGTGTGCCATATGATCGCAGTCATTGGTGGTTTTCTTCTGGAAACATCGGTTGACTATCAGGTGAAATTTGTGTCATCCTTGAGGCTACCGGATATCACAGGTGGCTACCAGTGGGCTGACCCTTTCAGGGCAGTCACAAATATATTAATATTAATATGAATATTAATATGAAACATAGCAATATATATATATACATATGTATGTATGTATGTATACATAGAGTAATATGTATATATATATATAATATACTGATGTCCACGGTGTATATTCATGTACAGAGTTCTTGCCCTTTGGTAATCCAATGCGGCTGGGATCATCCCAACACTCAGCAAGTTCTCCTCGCCCCCTGAGTAGGTTATCCCATGTACAACTGGGGTCAAAGTTAACTTACTTGCCAGTTTTTATACGGTACCATGAAATAGCATGCATCACATGATTGACATCATTCAATCATTCAATCCCATGATTTTTATTCCAATTGGTTGAATATCCCATAGGATGTCTCCATGACACCATGATATTCACATTGACAGAGAATCTCCCCGTTGCATTTCCACATTTTCATCCTTTTTGACGGTTAAATGTCTAATTTTCACCATTTCTTCACGAGTTTTCCCACAGCTTTTCTTGGGTTTTCCCATGATTTCCTCAAGTTGATTTTCCCAATAGTGATGATGATCCAATCTGACTTTCACTCCATCATTTTTCGTAGTTCTTTCATGTTGTTTCCCTTTTTCCTAAATTTTGTTTCCCACTTTTTTCCCGGCGTGGTGCGAGGGTCCGCTTGTTTCGGTCCCTCGTTTTTGAGGCCTGGCCTTGGTCTTCGGCCGCGAGCACGATGGGATTCCGCCTGAGGCGGAGGAGCTGTTGCACGAGGCGTGAACGGCGGGGCCGTTCGGCCGTGGTTGCGGTTGAGAATGGGATAGACTGGGGATGGATATAGTATACCAACTGGATATGGTATATGCAAATTCAATACTTCCAGCCCATGGTACTGGAGATGCTTTTAACTGAAATATGTGATTTCCAATCTCTGGCTAGCTGCCAGCCTCTTAAATATATTCAACCCATTGGGATTTATAAGCTGGATATAGAATGGGATAGAATATGGGGTATGTATGGTTGGATGTATGGTTGGAGTTTGGACACAGACACAGACACAGAGATTTTTGGTGTGGATTTTATTGGGTTTAACCAAGAATGGGCTTGTAACTATGGTATCCACATAATTAATGGTAATTTTTCATGGTAATAGCTAATTCACCAACCATTTTGGTGGTAATTTCACTTTGGGAGCAGGTATAATGGTACTTTAGTGGTAATAAACTTAATAAAACCAACAATCATGGCGAGTTAACGATATATGGAGCAGATAAATTAGACATATGATTTAATTATGAAAGATAATGGCATTAATCCGCAGCGTTTCATGGGGGTTTGGTGGTTTCCTCTGGATTTGGTGGGATTTAAGCAACAATCATGGGATTCTACGACAAAAAATAGAGGAATACAATAGGACAATTATGTGGCTGATAACCAACTCCAATATGGGATATATATATATACAGTAAGTATATCTAGAATCTGTTGATGTGCAAAAATAAAGTATGAAGACATGAATAGGATGATCGCTTTGAGGATGGTCATCTCTCTCCCTCTCTCTCTCTTTCTCTCTCTCTCCATCCCTCCATATAGATACAGCAACCCCCATAAAAAATCGAAAAGTGAGAATCAATGGTGTAAAAGTGCAAGAAAGCATATTCTATCTATATATATATATATGGCAGAGCCAGCCAATGTGTTTGAAGCGCGTACAGCTGGCTGCAGAATGACGTTGACCAGTTTCTGAACTAAAAGAAGGATTGATTTTCAATTGAGCCGGTTGCCGCGCTCCTATTACCGTTCCAAGCAGCACGCCGGGGGTTCCCCATTGTGACAACAATTTTCCTTGGGGCGCACTTGGCATCGATTTGCCTCTGTTGACAGGAGCTGGAGAAGGAACTGAAGAACGAACGCGAGGCGGATAGGGACATCATTTTCTGCCCATCCTTTGAATCCCTTGGCCCCAGCAGGCGCATCGTGAGGGAAAGGCGCAAGGATCAGCGCTCCTCATTGCCGGGGCCTTTGGGGGTTTTGGCCAATCACAAAGAGCGCATTGAAATGACCTGAACATCGTGCGCAGCCAAGGCCGAAAGGCAACGCAACAACCAGCTCCAGGCGGCGGTGAGCGTTCCTTGGACTCCGATTTTATCAAAAAGGCACTTTCCTTGCAAATGGGTCCTATAGCCTATAACATTTTGTTTGGGTGATAGGTGTGTAAGGCTATTCAAATCATTGTGGCACACAAGCTCGCACCGACAAAGAGCCCATGAGAGATGGGCCAAGGTCCTGATCGGCCCCCCACCTGGACTGCTCCCGCCGCCGGAGGTGCTGCGACAGACTGCGGCGGGCGATTTTAGGATCTTCAAAAAGGAGGCCGGGGGTTCCCGATTATGAAGGGGCGCACTTGGCATAGATTTGCCTCTTTTGACAGGACCTTGAGAAGCAGCTGCAGCAGGAGATTTGAGGCGTGATAGGGGCCTTATTTTTGGCTTATTTTTTGGATCCCTTGGCCCAAGCAGGCGCATCGGCGCACCACCTTGCGCCAAAACGAGTTGCACGGCCTGTTGATAGCCGGGGCCTTTGGGATTTTGGCTGATCACAAGAACATGTTCCATGTGGGGCTTAGTTGTCAGCAATTTTCGTGCAGCGCGGCTAACACGCAGCCATCTGAAGTTCTGACTCCCTGCGACGGACCCCCCTGCGACGGACCCTGAGCAATGGCCAACCGCAAGGTTTGGCCTGTTTTTTTTTGGATGCAGGGTCAGGTTGTATCCAAATTCGGCCGGTAAACCGAAGACCTTGTGACAATGGGATGTTATGGAACAATGATGAGATAGTTTTGGGATCATAATGATATATTTTTTGCCAAAGTATGGGATAACATCTCAAATTCGGGCTGGTAAATTTGTTTTTTGGAGGACTGATGCAAGATTGTTCCCACATGATTGGTTACCGGGATGATTTGTTATTGGGTTTACCAGATTAGTATAGAGTATATACCAGTAGTACCGCACAAGGCGGTGGCGGAAGTTTCAAAAAAAGGAAACCTATAGGAGAGGTTGTTTGTTGCGAATCAGGGATGGCAGAGCGAAGCCACTGATGGACTGAAAGGTGCTTGATCTCTTTCACTCTTTCTCTCTCTTTCTCTCTTTTTCTCTCTGTTTCTCTATCTTTCTCTGATTATCTACCGACCTACCTACTGATCTATCTGTCTACCTATCTATCTATCTATCTACCTATCTATCTCCCTATCTATCTATCTATCTATCTATCTATCCATCTATCCATCTATCCATCTATCCATCTATCCATCTATCCATCTATCCATCTATCCATCTATCCATCTATCCATCTATCTATCTATTTAGCTGTCTCTCTATCTATTTGTCTGTCTGTCTGTCTGTCTATCTATCTATCTATCTGTCTACCTGTCTATCTGTCGTGCAGTGCCATTCAGTGTAATGTAGTGTAGTGTAATGTAGTGTGGTGTAGTGGAGTGTAGCGGAGTGTAGTGTAGTGTAGTGTAATGTAGTGTAGTGTAATTTAGTGTAGTGTAATTTAGTGTAATGGAGTGTAGTGGAGTGTAGTTGTGTAGTTGTGTAGTTGTAGTTGTAGTTGTAGTGTAGTGGAGTGTAGTGTAGTGTAATGTAGTGAAGTGTAGTGGAAGGTAGTGTAGTGTAGTGTAATTTCGTGTAGTGGAGCGTAGTGGAGTGTAGTTGTGTAGTCGTAGTTGTAGTTGTAGTGTAGTGGAGTGTAGTGTAGTGTAGTGGAGTCTAGTTTAATGTAGTGTAGTGTAATTTCGTGTAGTGGAGTGTAGCGGAGTGTAGTTGTGTAGTTGTGTAGTTGTAGTTGTAGTGTAGTGGAGGGTAGTGTAGTGTAATGTAGTGAAGTGTAGTGGAAGGTAGTGTAGTGTAGTGTAATGTAGTGTAGTGTAGTGGAGTGTAGTGTAAAGTCGTGTAGTGTAGTGTAATTTAGTGTAGTGGAGTGTAGTTGTGTAGTTGTAGTGTAGTGGAGTGTAGTGTAATGTATTGTAGTGAAGTCTAGTGGAAGGTAGTGTGGTGTAGTGTAGTGTAATGTAGTGTACTGTAGTGTAGTGGAGTGTAGTGTAATGTAGTGTAGTGTAGTGTAATTTAGTGTAGTGTAGTGTAGTGTAGTGTACTGGAGTGTAGTTGTGTAGTTGAAGTTGTAGTGTTGTGGAGTGTAGTGTAGTGTAATGTAGTGTGGTTGCAGTGTAGTGGAGTGTAGTGTAATGTAGTGTAATGTAGTGTAGTCTAGTGAAGCGAAGCGAAGCGACATCTGAACCTCCAAAAGTGGTCCGAACCCCTAGTGTTTTTAACATTTTGACTTCAAAATGTGCTTCGCGCCACAACGGCGTGCACTTTTTCGAGACTGAACATCCAAAAGTGGCGCGAACATGTGGTGTTTTGTACATTTTGACTTGGAAATGTGCTTCGCGCCACAACGGCGTGCACTTTTTCGACATCGCAACTTCCAAAAGTGGTCCGACCACGGTGTGTTTTGTACATTTTGACTTGGAAATGTGCTTCGCGCCACAACGGCGTGCACTTTTTCGACATCTCAACTTCCAAAAGTGGTCCGACCATGGTGTGTTTGTACATTTTGACTTGGAAATGTGCTTCGCGCCACAACGGCGTGCACTTTTTCGACATCGCAACTTCCAAAAGTGGTCCGACCATGGTGTGTTTTGTACATTTTGACTTCGAAATGTGCTTCGCGCCACAACGGCGTGCAATTTTTCATCGCTCATCTGGCCAGCTGGCTCCGCACCCGCCGCTTTAGCGAGCCTACTTTTCGACCCTCCGGAGCCACAAATCATTGGAAAAACACAGTGTTTCGCGACTTTCCTACCTTTTCGCGCATCTGCATCTTCTTTCTTCTTACTCTTTCTCTTCTACTCTTCTTTCTTCCAATCTTTCTCTTCTCTCTGCCTCTTCCCTGCTCTGCTTTTCATCTGTCCATATTGTCGGAAGTTTGACTTCTAAACTTCCTTCGATAATATTTGCACATACATCTTTAAGTATTGTATTTACAAACCAATAGCAAACCACACTACCAAGAATACGGAGGTTCCTGCAATGATAGTCCAGCAATCCACCATTTTATGAAATCTGAATCCAATGAAAACGACTTCTCTTTCGACAGGACCTCGAGAAAGCCTTGCAACAGGAAATCGAGGCGTGATAGGGACCTTATTTTTGGCTTATTTTTTGAATCCCTTGGCCGAAGCAGGCGCACAGAAAGACAAGTGTGCGCCTCGACGAGCTGCACGGGCTTCTGATTGCCGGGGCCTTTGGGGATTTTGGCTGATCGCAAAGAGCGCATTGAAATGACCTGAAGATTGTGCGCAGCCAAGGCCGAAAGGCTTCAGAAGAAGGCGCTCGAGGAGGCGGTAAGGGTTCCTTGGACTCCAATTTTATCAATTTGAAAAGGCAATTTCCTTGCAAACGGGTCCTATAACATTTTATTTGGGTGATAGGTGTGTAAGGCTATTCAAATCATTGTGGCACACAAGCTGTTTTTGGGCCAAGGTCCTGATCGGACCCCCGCCGGGCCTGGCGCCGCCGGAGGTGCTGCGACAGACTGTGGCGGGCGATTTTAGGTTCTTTTAGGCTTGAGAGTTCCTAAGTCTCTAGGATGAAGGGTTTTCATTTTTTTTACATGATTTATTCATGATTTGATACGATTTCTATTTATTTTTTTTATTTCTTTGGATATGATTTTTTTTATGGTTTCGGATATGATTTTTTTAACGATTTTTTTTTATGGGTTTGGAAATGGTTTTGGCCAAAATCGTACCAAAATCGTAAAACAATAGTAAATTTCTCGAGTTTTTGGCTAAAAAACAGATTCTGGTGATCTTGGTGGCATTTACGATTTTTTACGATTTTGGCTTGGCTCCAAATCAGGTTCTGGTGGTGGAAAGGCTTCTGGGAAAGGGACACCCTCCCAAAACCGTAAAAAAATCGTAAAGAAACGTAAATTTCTCGAGTTTTTGGCAAAAAAAGCGATTCTAGGGACCTTGGTGGCATTTACGATTTTTTTTTTCCTTTTTTTTAACGATTTTGGTACGGTTCCCTACGAAAACCGGAAAAAATCGTAAAACAATCGTGAATTTCTCGAGTTTTTGGCTAAAAAGCAGATTCTGGGAACCTTGGTTGCATTTGCGATTTTTTTTTTGATTTTGGCTCCAAATCAGGTTCTGGTGGTGGAAAGGCTTCTGGGAAAGGGAAGCACCCCCAAAATCGTAAAGAAATCGTAAATTTCTCGAGTTTTTGGTAAAAGAAAAAGATTCTATTTTTTTACGATTTTGGTACGGTTCCCTACCAAAATCGCAAAAAATCGTAAATAAAAACAAGGTTCTGTGGACCTTGGTTGCACTTACGATTTTTTTAAAAACAATTTTGCTTCAAAATCAGGTTCTGTGGTCGGAAAAGGCTTCTGGGAAAGGGAAGCTCTACCAAAATCGATTAAAATCAAAAATCGTATTTAAAACCAGAAAATAAACATATCAAAAACCATAAAAAATCATAAGTCATTTTCCCAACCATCAAAAAATTGTATTCAAATCCATTAAAAAAACAAAAGTCATTTTCCCATCCATAAAAAACATATCTGCAAATCATACAAGAATCATATTGAAATCGTAAAACAAATATTTGCCAAAAACGGCATCCTAAAGGGTTTAAGAAGTCTGAATTTTAGAATTCTTTCCTGTCACAAAGGAGGCCGGGGGTTCCCCATTATGAAGGGGCGCACTTGGCATAGATTTGCCTCTTTTGACAGGACCTTGAGAAGCAGCTGCAGCAGGAGATTTGAGGCGTGATAGGGACCTTATTTTTGGCTTATTTTTTGGATCCCTTGGCCCAAGCAGGCGCATCGGCGCACCACCTTGCGCCAAAACGAGTTGCACGGCCTGTTGATAGCCGGGGCCTTTGGGGATTTTGGCTGATCACAAAGAGCGCATTGAAATGACCTGAACATTGTGCGCAGCCAAGGCCGAAAGGCTACGCAACAAGGAGCTCCAGGCGGCGGTGAGCGTTCCTTGGACTCCGATTTTATCAATAAGGCGATTTCCTTGCAAATGGGTCCTATAGCCTATAACATTTTATTTGGGTGATAGGTGTGTAAGGCTATTCAAATCATTGTGGCACACAAGCTGATTTTTTCCACGCCCGGAGGTGCTGCAACAGACTGTGGCGGGCGATTTTTGGATCTTTTAGGATTCTTTCCTGTCAAAAAGGAGGCCGGGGGTTTCCCCATTCTGAAGGGGCGCACTTGGCATAGATCTGCCTCTTTTGACAGGACCTTGAGAAGCAGCTGCAGCAGGAGATTTGAGGCGTGATAGGGACCTTATTTCTGGTCTATTTTTTGAATCCCTTGGCCGAAGCAGGCGCATAGAAAAACTACTATGCGCCAGAACGAGCTGCATGGCCTTCTGATAGCCGGGGCCTTTGGGGATTTTGGCTGATCGCAAAGAGCGCATTGAAATGACCTGAAGATTGTGCGCAGCCAAGGCCGAAAGGCTACAGAGGAAACAGCTCGAGGAGGCGGTGAGGGTTCCTTGGACTCTGATTTTATCATTTTTTTTTTCAAGAAGAAACATGACATTCCCAAGCTGGGCCAAGGCTCTGCTGCGTCCGCCGCCGCCGCTCCTTCCGCAGCTGATGACAGGAGCTGAAAAACGAATAGGAGGCGGATAGGGACATCATTTTTGGCAGCAACACTCTGCCCATCCTCTGAATCCCGTGGCCCAAGCAGGCCCATCACATGGCAGCGGCGCTGCGATCAGCTGCACGGCCGGCTGATTGCCGGGGCCTTTGGGGTTGTGAACACCAAGAGTGCACCCAAATGAAGTGAACATTGTGTGCAGCCAAGGCAGAGCGCCAAAAAAAACAAAGAATTTGAAGATGCAATTGGAGCTCCTTGGGCTTTTAATTTCATCAGCGGCGTTCGTTTTTTTCAAAAAGAATCATATTATTCTCACAAATGCCAGTCCCCAAAGTGGGACAACGTTTTTCTCGGTTAACAATCGCAAATAACAATCTCTCGCTCCATTGCCTGTGTTGTGAGTTTGTCAGTTGTGGCCATTGGTAGCCAGTTTCCATTTCATTTCAACCAAAGCCCGTTCAAGAAACAGTGGTTTGAAAGGGAATTGGTTCATTTTGGGTTGTCCCTGGCCAGTGGCTCGCTGTTTCGCGTAAGGCGTAGGCATTGAAACAGTTTTTCGCAAATCCTATATAGTTTCCTTTGGGCGTTTTCCAAGACTGAAATAACAAACGAAAAGGCACAAAACTGAAAGCGGCGTCAAGCAACAAACTAACCCAAAGGAATGCCAACATCAATTCCCACAGGATGTACCATAAATGTAAAACTCACTACAATGACACCGGGGTATACTCCAAGGACTGACGCTACCCCCGTGCAACCTTAATGAAACATGAGCTAGAGTTGCTGCCGTGTTTGCGCAAAAAATTGGCGACGAAGACCTTGCCTGAGACAGCTTTCCTTGGCCAGCTGCCTTGATGCATATTTCAATCATGTCCAGATTTTCGTGGATTAATTTAAATCAATGAATTACACGGTGGACCTGGACTGTCCAATTCTTCACTGTCTTTGACCCATGGAAAAAATTGCCATACATAAAAAAAATAACCTATAGCATGGTGACTCTGGTTCTACTGTTGCCTATATATGGCATAGAGGTGTGCCAAATGGATGAGTGGGCTTGGGCAATTCACCACTGCGTGCCAACCAGTACCGAATAAAACGGTTGATGGAGTAGTCAAACAGTTTTACTCACCGCGAAACCGCAAACTAGACAAAATAGGCGCATAAGATACAGCGTTTGACATGGATGACGAATGATTTCTTCAAAACAGACTTTTGAAAAGTAGAACGCCAGAGTTTCACACTTTCCCCTTTCAGAATGGCATTCTTTTTGCCCCAAACCCACCCGGGGTCAACAGCCAGGAACAAAATTTGTACGAGTGGTTTTCACGGTCATGTTACGCGTGCAATTTCTTAGGATTGATGAAACCACCTCCCGATGATAAACCCAAGCGCTCAAAGGCGGTTGTGATGCCGCAGGGTACTCCCCAATTTTGACCTGCACCGTGCCCAACAAAACCTTCTTGCATTGGTTGCCGTCCAAGTCGTAATTTTGAGTCAAATAAGGACATAAATGCTGAGATAGCTGGGGACATCGATAGGCAAATGATGGCACATGAACGGGGCAAATAAATAAGGATTTAAACAAAAGAATACGGAATTCAATTGGGAAATCAACTGAATCAATAGGGGAATACATTCGGAAAAAACATGCAGAAATTAATAGTGAAACGTACAAAATTAGATGCGTGGGACCGGCGGGACCCAAGACTCCTCAGGAGGACACGTCCCCAGGAAACTGATATAAAATATGGAAAATCCATCATTCAACCATTCATCCCCGGGAAAACATCAGCTTTCCACACTATCCATATTGATCTGCTAGGCCAAAGATGGGGAATATGGTGGGGCAATTTACTTTCATGCTGATTTACGCAGGCAGATGCTACGCTGGAGATGGGGTGGGTGATATTTGGTCAGTTGCTTCTCTTCATTTACGAGTTCCTCCCAATGGCGCTGGGAGAATGGCTACTGTAAACCAATCTCCTGGCTCAGTAACAAAATTGAAAGAACTAGACAAACATTTTTTATGATTTTAGCGGCCGGTGAAAAGTTTGGCGGGATGAATATGCACATGTGTCTATAGTCTATATATATATATATATATACATGTGTGGTATTGCTATAGGCATATAGGTGGAGGTAGAGGTGGAGGTAGAGGTTTGCGCACGCGCGCACCTTTAGTCATCTTATTCATGTTTTTGTTTTGCATGTGCAATCAGAAAAGGGATCATTCAATTCAAACTGATGAACTTACAATGATAAACACATGAGAACGTGTATATTTGAATATACAGTTAATTGACTAGTTTTTTCGTTTTTACAAAATTATCATGGTTTAACGGCATTGTCATCCTGTTCGCAACATTGTCATTGGAATATCACACCCCCAGTAATTTTGTCATAGAGTTCAGCTGCATTCAACCTGATACTCACAATGCACATGGGTTTGTCAGTGAATGGGGTATCCCTAAATCAATTTTCCAAGCAGTACTTTTCTTCTCAGAATTCCATTTTTCGGGGGTATACGCCATTTTCAAACGCAACCAAGACCCAAATATAGATACACAACATGATTTGCTGCGATTTGTTGTTAATTCAGACAGGATTTCCATGCCTGGTGCAATAAAAAATTGACAAAGGTCTCCAGTACGAACACATTTGACAAACATACTGTTTTTTTTCCATCTTTTCCAAGATAGACGAGGATGGGTAATCCGACATTCCAACCATGGAATAAAAAGTGGCCTTAGTTGAAAAATCCGAATGAAAATAACATTTGAAATTTTGAAATTCCAAATCCGCTTGCATATTACCAGTGTATGGGTCAAATTTTTTTCGCCCCAAAAATTTGGTAAATACTTGGACTTGAAAATAGGTCCCCCGGCCTACAGAAATCACTTTCCTCCGGCCTACAGGCAGCCACAGTGCCGATGGTGGTCCCTGGAAATGAGGCATCGTTGTCTACCTCTGGGGGGAGGACTTGAAATCAAGCCACCCTTCTCTGGATTTCTACGAAAATCATTGGGATAGGATTTTGCCGCAAAAAAAACTGGATTTTACTTTCACAATTGGCATTTTTCCAGCCCTGTGGGTTTGACCCACAAAAAGGTTATTTTTTCAGCAAAAAAATCTACATGTTGATCTTTTTCAAGCAGAATGTGGATTTTAGCCAACAGCTGGATAAACATGTGGTTGAAGCCAACGGATCCATAGCTAGTGAAGGTTGAGAGGAAACTTCCAAGAAAGATCGACAGTAAAGGTCACTGTCAGTGGTCGCTCGAAGTTTTGCCAACAATTTCAAACTTTGGACATTTTAAGCAGCAAAAAAATGGTGGGTTGTAGGTATCTTATGGGATCTTCAAGCGACACTGAGGATTTATGTGGACTTTAACCACCAACAATCGTGGATGGCGAATTTTTTTCCTGGGATGGAGGCATTTTCACCAAGGAAATTGGTGGAATTAAGGAACTGAACCAGCAAATAGTGCATGGAGATACCAGAAATATGCTACAACTGGTATATCTCCAACATATGGCAGGAAGGGAATTACACACAACAGCAACAGACGTGGGGTAGGTTGGAAATCTGCGGGTACAAGACATGGTCTCAACCAACCGGTTTTGGGATTTTAGAGGTCTTTTTTGCCTCAATTATGGGACGAAACGGCAATTTATCATCATTTATATCTCTTGATTGCTAAAAAAAGCCCTGAAAGAATTTTCAAAAACATCCAGGGCTAGGGTACAGCTCAATGGCCGCAGTGGCAGACTGATGTGGCTGATGCCTCCCCCATACTGTGGGACATCTTGGGACATCTAACATCATTTCAAAGAACAGCAACATCAAAATCCATCTGACCATGGATGAAATTTGGTTCCCCCCAAAAATCCATGATTTCTAACAGCATACCATGGATTTTTCCATCGACTCAAATGAAGTTCTGCATCCCCCCAAAATGTCCGTCACTTCTTCGTCCCCAATGATGCCCGCTTCATTGATCCGTCAAGGTGTACAGGTTTTATTCTTGTTTTACTTGTGGAAAGTCCGTAAGTCTTATGCTATTCACATAGATGTCATATTACCATCTGGTTATTTAACATCGCCATGGAAAATCACCATTTTATAGCTAGGTAAACCATCTATTTCTATGGGCCATCTATACCATGGCTATGTTAGTCATAACCAGAGGGTCATGTTTTTTTTTTGATAACATTTCCCTCAACTTCAGCCTTCAGCATCTCCTAGAAAAACCGAGCGACTTCCATCACCTAGCCCCAGGGTAGCCTCAATGTCTCCCAAGCTGCTGGAATTGTGCTGTATGAGCGATGGTGCTCATTGAAGCCATGGGAAAAGTCGGTCGCTGTTGGATCATGGGCCAAGGGGCAACGTTTGTGAAGTTCGACCGACAAAAAAGGGGGATCTACGAGCCATAAAGATGGGGTCACTTCTTTGAAGGGTAGGTGAAGATGTGTTTTTTGCCAAAGGATGGGGGAACATATTTATAGATTTCATATCCCGGTCCCGAACACATTGAATTTTGCCTAAGGCGATGTCACGACAATTGCCACCCATATCATTTTTTCTGGCATGATTTGGAGGTTTCCTAAAATGCCGGTACCCTAAAATGGATAGTTTATGATGGAAAATCCTATTTCACAAAATCCCCAAATTTCCCCACAGACTCCAAAGCTTCAACACATGCTTGCAGGAAAGGATCCAGACATTATGTTGAGAAAAGGATAGAAAAGGGTATGTTCCACAGAAATGCATTGAATCTACTTTACAGGTAAGCGTTTGTATTTGCCACATTTGACATGTATAACTGTATAACTGGTTTACTTTGACAGAAACTGGTTGGACCGTCCTAGGGAAACGAATCGAGTCCTAGGGAACGTGCTGCATAAAAGGGTTTGGTTCCAATCCCTGGCACTGGTCAAATATGTTTCAGTGTTCCTGAACGCTTTCAATAGCTAAATTGGCTAAATAACTTTGCTGAAAAACACTGGCTTTCACATTGACTCAAGGCCGTTCTTTGAGCTACCCGGAATGCAATCTTTTTCATAGCACAAATTCCAAGTAAGCGTATCTCCTCATTATTTCATTGTTGCTCCTCTTTGGTGCCCATTTTGTGCCTTCGTCCTTTGAAGATTTGCTGTGTAGGTTGTCCCCCCTGCAGATGTGAAGACCCATTAAAAGTTGACGAACGGTGGTGCCGATACTGGAATGGAAGAGGGGGAAATGCAAAGGATCTTGCGCCCAGACATGTTCATTTCCTAGCTTGCCATTCAGAAGTAAGTAGGGTCACAATGCAGTGATGGATGAGATTGGAAGCCCAAGTCTCACCCTTGTTACTTCCAGTTGCCTTGGCAGTGGAAGGCTTGTTGAACCCCCCAAAAATGTCAAGATAAGAGATATCAAGAGAGTTCACAGGTCGAGAGAAAGGGTTGTCAATGTCCATTTTTTGTTGGGTGCCGTAGGTAGCAACGCTGATGATTCACCAAGGGTAGAACCTGTCTGGCAGAAAGTTCCGCTCACCGTGTGCATGCTATACTTCCACCACAAAATCACCATTTTTGATGCTGGAATCCCTGGAACTTCCCACAAAATCACCAGGAAAATCACCATGAAAGTCACACGCAGCTGTGTGGAAAGCTCAAGTGCTCGTGCAGTTCTCATCCTCGCGGCAGAATCCAGCAGAATGGCAGACCGCAAGGTGTGGGATTTCGGCAGGGTGACTCCATTATGGATTGTGGTGATTTCCTCATTAAAGATCAATTGAAGATGGATTGTGACAGTTTTTAGTGGGGCCAAAATTCGTTGGACCATCAGATGAATTCTTGAAACATCGTATACTTTTTTGTTGTTTATTCGAGATTCCTGAATGGTGAATTACTTGGCAATCCCGTTGATCCAACATGTTTTTTGAGAGCTGGTGACCTAGCTTCAAAAATCAGATGGTGAGGAACAGGCGATTTTTTTTGAACCCACCGCACATTGCGATTTATCATTCGTGTTTACCCGGTTAGCCGTGGGTTGCCTCCATTTAAGGCAGCAACTCATTCGACTGTTCGACATGGGTTTACCAGCTGAAAAATTAGCGATGTTGATGGTCGAAACATGAAGGTGGATCAAAACCCCATATAGCATATTCTTACTGGTGCTAAACGTAGGGAATTTTCGGGAATGATCCCAGTCATCACTAGTAATAATAATCCCAGCAACCCATCCATTCCCGGCGGTGGAAACAAAGCAGGGGGAATTTTTATGGCTTCTAAGGCTCCAACCCGTTGCCGTGAAGAATCCCCAGTTGAGTTTGCCAGAAATGGATAGTAATTCAACCTGAATCGGTGGTGAAGCTGG